AAACCGCAGGTGCGGCTCAGGTCGAGACAGGAATTCTTTACTTGCAGAGTGGTGAACGCGTGGAATGCGTTAGATGACGAAGTAGTGGCTGCCCCTTCTGTGACTATCTTTAAGAAGAAACTAGATGCTTTCATGGACAGGCAAAAAGGTGGGGGGCAATGTTGACGTAGGTACTAGACAGTAAGCAATTAGGATAATCAAAAAAAAAAATTATTTAGCGTTAAGAGGGTTAGGCCTACCCTAAAATTAAGGAACGCTCGACCTCGACACGTGATATCGAAATGGGCGAAATCGCCTCTTGATATCACTAACTCTCCTGACTCCTGACTCCTGATGCGGTGGAAACGCGCGGAATATGAAATTCCTGAAGTGGACTGAGACAAGGATCCCAAAACAACCCTTTAGGGTCGATTGTTATCTTTCGCCGAAATCCATCTACCGCAATTTAAGGGATATTTTTTATTGAGCGATTGGTTACGAAATGAGGAAATGCTTCAAATAATTTCATGACATCGGAGGAAAACCAAGGGCGAGAATGGAGCAGTCGGGGCAGGTGTACACCAGTGACGTCATTTGCCCCAGGGCTAGAACCGCCATTATTAGGGGCTTCGCTTTCGACCCAACCTTATCTACTCTTCTAACCTGGTCTCTATCCAATACGTTTCTGTTCAACTGCAACGTGAGGAAATTGTGAGTTGTTCATTAACCAATTCAAATTAATCAAATTCAATCTGCGCCTCCCAATAATCACTACTCGTATAACGAAAAAACTCCGTAGACAGCCAAGCAATATTGATGCTACTGCACAACCCGATCTCTACAATTCCTTATCCCGTCGGCAGAGTAGGTTAAACGTAGCAGCGTGTATGACGTGCGTCGGTAAAATACCTATCGTCGTGGTTTTGAAAGATATGCAACGAGAATTTAAAGGGAACCTAGACCTAACGACTTCATGAAATTGCCCTTTGAGGTGTACAGTATGTCGACTGCACGTCTTCAATTCGGGAAGTTTAGGCAGTTTCATTCAGGGAGAGAGGAGGTATGGAGGGAAGGTGACAAAATGGAATAATTGCGAAACTCATCTTGTCCGCCGTCAATTGAGTCATAATATGGAGCGTGGGAATTGACGTGAATTTCGCTATTGATCGGCATTTTTAGCATCTCCAAATCTCACCCTTAATGGATGCTGTCCTGATGGGTCGTCAATTCTCTCGATGCCAATGTCAAGTGGATTTTTGTTTAAAGGATTTTTCAGTGTTGGATATGCATACGCCCGTGGAAGCATCTACGATACGCGTCTTACGACGCCGCCAAAATTGAAGTCGACGATAAAGAAAATAGATTAATGGAACCGGAAGAACGGACGTTCTTCAGGTTTATATCCCCCTGCAAGTCGTGTCGTTTCCGTCGACATGAAAGTATGTCGAAACGCGAATGATTTTTCGCCTTAGAATCACAATTACCTAATTTTCCAGGACTCGTTGGATTTTGGAAAAAATAAAGAGAATAACTAATTAATTTCGGCTTGACATTTCTTGCCTGTCTTTAGTTTCTATCATTTTCCCGGCACTTTTCTCCCTACAGAACATAATTACTTCTCCCCCTTGCTCTGAAAGTACTTCAGAAGGCCAAAAAGAACTGAATCTCGGACGACATTTTCTTTCTTTTAAAATATCCTTGAACTCGAAAGGTTGTTAATGCTTCACCACGAGGGAGCAATAAGGACACCAAACGCGAAACGTTTCAAGATATCTATTCGGATTTTCCATGCCAATGGGAGATTTCTGGGTCACTGGTTTAATCGACCCAGCCGATCCTAACCGATCTACGCCCAACATCAGTCGGCAGCGTGCTTCGTGACCATCTTCTATCGGAGTATTTTCCAGGGCTGAATCCTTCCGGATGTATTCTTCAGACAAACACGGATGAGGGAGAAAGTGATATATTATTTTACATTTGCGGCCGCGTTGGCCGCGTTATTTCGCAGGTACCAAAAGGACTCGAGTCGAAAATTGTCTCACTCGTGTCCCATAACTACGATGGTCACGCGTCTGAAGCCCTCGTGCACCGAAGTGCTTGATTCGCTTCGTAAAAATTCGCCATGCCATATTTTTTATAGTTGGTTCATGCGGTTGGAAAATCGGAGAACTTTTGCGTCCGTTTCCTGTAACACTTTTGAGGAAATACGAATGAAGAAGATACAGAAAAAAAGGTTGATCGCAAACATCTCTCTGATATGCATAATAGGTGTTATTTCATCTGGTGCGAATCGTGTAGTAGATACTGTAGCGTATTTTGCAGGAGGGAGGGGCAAAAACAGTATCTGCCTTGAAAAGTACCTAGCGTAGCCCTAGAAGCTTTTTTTTCGCCTGAGAACCTTCATTCAGCACTCCCCTCCCCA